TGCTGACAGGAAGGCACCAGCGCTGCGGCCAGCGGGGCTCAAAGGAAAACACAGTACCCAGAGAGATTATAACAAGCACAGGGAGAAAGAAAAGCTGCCACCTCCTGTAGCCTCATTTTTCAATACAGAATTAGTAATTAGCACTCACCAAATCCTCAGTGGCTGGTACAGTTTGGGTACTGGGAAATGCCCCAAATAACTCTATGCAGCACAAGAGTTCAAACTCATGACAGAGAAGCCATTTTATGAGTTGATCATGTCAATAGAACAGGAAAGAGCTAAACAAATTCCCAGGCTCTCCCTCCACTCCCAGCGAGGGAAGACTTTTGTCACCTCTGCACTGAGTGACGATCTTGCAACTCTCCAGAAATGTCCAGATGGCCATACCTTTACCTCCAGAGAGGAAGAGCTTCCCTGAAAGTCCTCCTACTCTTTACTCTCCTCTCTAATATTAGATGTAAAGAACAGGAGCAAAGCACACTTCACCACTGCTTTCCATGGTAGCTGAGATTCCTTTACAGCATTGGAGAGGAAGGAACCATCCTCCTTGGGAATACAGGATTTAGGAAATGCTGCACAACAATTGGTGCAACTCAAACAATTCAGTACAGTGAAGGTCAAAGGAAAGGCCTTTAGGCTAAGTAAAAGCTCACTGATACAGAAACAATACGCAATTTTCACTCGACAGTAAGTGTCAGGATAGACACATTTACAGGAAGACTAAATACACTAAGCAACGAGGATGGGAAAAAGAAAATGACAACCCAACAGATGTTAAAGAGCGTGCTGTTTCTGCTATAGGCAAAGATAATATATCATGGTAGGCCACGGAGCTACTGACAAGGGATATACCAGCAAATGGATGATTAGATCATGCAATTTCCTCAGTTCTAGTTAAAATATATGCATTTCTTCAGAACTTTTAGGGAATTTCTATCATGAGGCATCAGGATCCTTCAGCTGTCATGACCGCTGCTCTGAAATCAATGGAGATTTCACAAGACACTACCCTATTCCATCTCAGTGACTTTCTATTATCACAGTGCTCTGACAAAAAGCTCTGTCAGAAATCTGGCCGAGTGTTAGGTTTTTCAGTTCTTGTCCGGTGAAGTTTCAGCTATATCATTAGATATGATAGCCGTCTTTTCTCAGCTATATGACGGTGGATGTTAGTAGCCAGATGGAGCCCTGTGAAGACCTTGGTTCATTTATTCCAGGCAGGAATCATGCACCCTCTGCCCACTCATTCCTACTTAGATACAAATGTGGACAACCTCACACAGAGCTTGTAAATCTGGCATATGCTACTTAACCAGAGCAAAATCAAGTTCTACATTAAATCCTGCATTAATAGACAGGTAAAGATGATTGGTTACATTTAGACTAAACCTGGATGTAAGTAATGGTTCTTGCAGTGGCATTTAACTAGCCATTGTGCCATGTCGTACCTGTTACTCTTGCTTCCTGTAAAAATTCATTAGCTACAAAAATATAGCACACACGTTTCTCACAAATTCACCCAGAATACAGACCACCATGGTACTTTTATCTGTATCTCTCTGGGAGAACGAGTAAAAATTGTTTTTACCCTGGAACTCATCTTTACACGTGGAACACACTCAACTTTAAATGCTATACAGCCCTCCCTACCTTACTTAACACATATGATATGCACAGCTAATTAAACCGCCTCATTTTTCCACTGCTAATTATATTCTAGTATATGATTTTAATATTGGATTGATTGGTTTTATTTCCAACTTATTAAAAAAAAGACTAGCAGACTGTGAAGTTTGCAACTCAGTGAGGTTAACGGGCCCGGGGAGACGCCCAGCTCACACCTCACGGAGATAAGCTCTATGGGGGAGTTGCAGTTGGTACTGCTGGACCTCTGAGGATTTTTCAGCACCACCACGGTGTTCCTGCAGCGCTTGAGTGATATTTGGGCAACGCTGTTAACACTGGCAAATTTATCAAGTTTCACTGAAACAAGCACATTAAGCTTGTCTTCTTAAAAATCTCTTGCCTGAGAACGGCAGTCCCTTTGCCTGTCAAGATTAGCGGCAAGAATATGAATGTTGATGTCAGAAGTTTGAGTAGCTGCTTTAGGATCTGTCAAAATATCTTGCTGGATGCC